CATGCAAAATAACTATGACAACTCCATTTCCAAAAAGTGTAAAAATGAATGGACACATTTAGTAACTCATGCTTCTAACTTAGAACATACGAACTTAGAATGCAGTAAATATAATCTTATTTCAGAAAATGCCTGGTTGTTTCTTAACAGAATTGGTCTATACCACCATAATCCAGCCAGATGTTAGAATCTTTCTTATGCCAACAAGTTATACATTTAATATCCTTACTTGTTATGCTATGACAAATGAAATGTCACTTTAAATGTCCAGTTGCATGGCTTAAAAGATGTATGTTCTCTTTTGAGACACATTAGCAAGTCATTCTAGTTAAGGGTGATATTTAGGAAATTAATAGAAAAAGTGGGTTTTGAGTGGAGCTTTATATTTTTATTAAAATAAATAATTTCACATATAACAAAGGTTCAGGTCATGTTTAGTGGATTTCCGTGGGCTATGAGCTTCACAATATCAGAAACTATTTTTCATTTATCTTTGTAAATTTAGTGCCTAATACATAAGTAATTACTAAATGTTTGCCGATAAAAATTAAGCTTTGTTTTTAAGGCATTAAGCTTTGTCTTAGGTTAGTGAGATTTAAGTTAAAAAAAAAGGCAATATTGCAATTATTTAAATAATAGCCTGAATATATTTATGGATAAAGAAACGTTGACCGTCTTGATCATACATAACTAACTTTCAAGTTACTTCACTAAAAAATTTATTTTTTCCCCACCAAACTGTTCACCAAGCAAGTTAAAGAAAGGGTTCTAGACATCTAAAAACTTGCATTTTGGAGAAGCAACTCTTAACATGAAATGTATTTATAAAATAAATAAATAATGAACCCCAGCTAGGTGTAAATCAGGAAGTGATTTTAAAACTCATAAGCCATATTTCCTTCTCAAAGAGGTTTGTAATTTAGTACAAGGAATAAAACAATCTGAAAATTAAAATGAAAGTTGATTGTTGGTACAACATGAAATAGAAATTTAGAAAGACAAAGCCTGATTATGATTGGTTGATAGTTCATGGAGGTAGTGCCTTTGGAGTTGGACTTGGGGAGGTGCTTTACTGCAGGCATGGATAGAAAAACGGGTGTTTCACATGGAGAAAGATAATAGAAGGGGTGCAGTGGTTTGACCATTTCCAAGACAAAAAGTAGTGCATGTTGATCATTGAATGTAAGTAAGACATAACTTTGAGAGTTTTTGAGAAGCAGTCATGGCCTGGGCTAGGGTGGTTTCTGTGGAAATGCAAAGGAAAGTTAGCTAACAAGTAAACTTAGTATTTACATCACAAAATAGATTGCAGTAATAACTTATCACCTAATCTGATGCACCATTTGCCAGCACATTGAAAAGTAAACACTTGGTAAAATAGCAAATGGATGTGTGTATGTTTTCACTTATTGATGACTGTGATTTCACATTATTATAACCCTTGGTTTCTAGACAAAAACCTCACAACTAATAATTGACTGTCGAGAGTCAGTTTTCAAGTCTATTTGTTTCTTAATGATCCTCTTATATATTTCTGGAAGGGGGAAGAGAAGACGTAAAACTATTCTTAAGACGACAAATTTTTGAAAACTTTCTTTCATGTAGCTTTGAAGTCCAGAGACTACTGCTTTTTATCAAGAAGCACATTGAAATATTGTATGAGAAAAATGTGCCTAAATATGAAAGTCATCTCCAGTCATTTGAGTTTTATACGTGCATACAGTTATTTACCCACCACTTCATTGATACCATCAATATAAATATATAGGAAATAACCCTGTATTTTCATAAGCCATGTACCGTATATGCATACACAATATTATGCTGCACATTACTTCATTTGATTTCATAACTTGCTTTTCATCGCTTACCCAAAGCAGATCATCTTTTTATTTGGTTATGCTATTTTCCTTGTGTAACTAATGTAGTATATTATCTTTGCCAACTTAGAATCATATGAATATAAATCAACAACCCATGAAGAACTTTTATTATCCAGAGAGCGTAATATGCTTAAGGTTTACCTCAACCTACATTCACCACATAAGAAAATAATAGCAAAACTAATACCTTATTTTTTTCTACGTTTGGATGATCCAACTGGCCTTTATTTTCACTAGAAGTAAAGAAGATCAAATAATCATGAAAGGGAGCACACAAGTTTTGAAAATATCCCATTGTGAGATATGTATGGAACCATAACATTTGTTGTTAAATCTTACCATTGACAACAACCCTAAAACAAAGATGTATTTTTTTTCAAACACTTGGCACATAAACATGGCAAAAGAAACTTACTTGGTTAGATAATAGTTTACATGATTTACTTACAAATTCAGATTGTTTTAAGGCAGAAACAATAGGTCTGGAACATTAAAAAAATACCACCATAGTGTTGTTTTTCCACCTGAGAAAAAAATAAATTGTTAGTATGTCTTCTGTCTTACAGGGAATTTAGTTATATCAAGCCATCCTATTAGTTTTCATTTTTTAAAAGTAGTTTTCCAGATAAATTATATTGACAGAAATAATCGAAATTTTCATTTGAAACCTTTGGTTATACAAAAATATATAATCAAGTTCTTCTTAAGTACTGTGACTCAGTATTAAGTATCCCAGGGTTAAGTATCAGCACTAATGCTCACATAACTTTGATTTTTGATGATGAGTAGAATTGAGTAGAACTGACTACAGTGAAGAATACTGAAATTTAATTTGTGTGATACCTATGTTTGAGAGATTTAAATCACATTCCAGCTAATAATATGAAATAGTTCACACAGATGCTAATATCTGCTTTTAAAGATAAGTACTTTACTTGTGTTTAAACTTCAGAAATCATTAAAAATTTAATATGACACTTTTAAAATTATTTCAGCAATGTCTGCCAACATACTCAGACCTGTAAATTGCAAGATTATAATTCTTGTACAAATAAACTACTTATACTTAGAAAACAGAGTGTAGGCTATTTTCATGCTGCCATTGAGTTGAAGAAATGTCTTCTAGAACAGGTAACAAAGTTACTTACTAAAAGAAGTTGTAAGGAAAAAAAAAAAAAAAGAAGAGAAGAAGAAGCAGAAAAAAAAGTTGTAGGTATGGAAAAATTTTTTTTTAGTATCCTTTTCCCACCCAGTGCCAAAACTACCTTAATGTGACCATCAAAGCCTGCAACTTATTTATGCACACATATACTCTGACTTAAATGTTCTAAGTGCTAGATACACACACATACACAATTTAAATGATAAATTCAAGAGGACAGAAGGTAAAGCATAATGTTAATAAAAATTACTACTAAATTTCTTTTGCTGTTTCAGACCCAGAAAATTTTCAGTTATATATAATACTTTAAAATACTGGGTAGTACATAAGAGTCTAGATATAAGCTTTCTAAATAGTCAATTTCCAAAATCATTAAATGATATGTGATTAGATGCTTCTTATTAGCATAATGAAACATAGTTTAGGCAGCACATACTGCATACATAAATGAATGGAATGAGAGGATGTTGGCAGCAATGGAAAATAATGATGGATTTTACAAGATTAAGCCAACTGACATTTTATGAAAATTTCCATTTCCTGCCTTGGATTTCATCTAAACTGACAAAAACAAACACACATTTAGATTTCTCAGATTTCTCTTGGGTTGTTCTCTTGGGTAGAATATCTGGAAAGAATTTCTGACAAATCAGTCTGTCAGGTGCCACACTTTAATATTTATGTGGGAATTCGCCAGGATGGACAAAAATGTATGCTAGTCTTTTCTCCTTACATAAAATAAAAATTGTGGGTAGAATTAGTGCTTATAAAACACACTGCTCCATTGCACAAAGTAAGTTGTAATATTTTAGCAGAAGCTTAAAGATTAATTGGAAAAGGTAAAATTATACATTCCCAAATTTTGACATTGGTTCTGACAGTATATCTGCACTATCATTAGAACATGTTTTACTCAATCATCTTTGTCATGTATTCAAGTCCTGGTCTTAAGGGCCCAACAATTGTCTTGATGTAATAGAAACACCATGATAGCCTGCTCCTCGGGAATCCCCTTTCTCCTACCCACCCTCCCCTGAGCCAGAATCAACAACTATCCCATAAATTTGGCTTTTGTTTTATTAAAATTATTTTACAGCAACAGTGCCAGAAGAATGGAACTCTTGCAGAATTCCAAGCATGAATTTTTCAAAAATGTATTACATGGAGTCTGTCTTTTGTTCAACTTATTTTTTCTCTTCCCCATTGTCACCGAGTTAGGCCCAGATATTTTTGCCTTTCCCAGGAGGTACAACATTAAGGGATTAAATAACAGAAACCTGGAGCCACCTCTTTTTTAAACATAACTCTTAAAAGAGAAATCATTGTCTTACATGTGGTTAGAAAATGGATGAGCAACTGTCTGGGGACAGGGCAGGAGAGAATTAGAATTACTTCAGCCACCACGTATCTGTGAACTTTTAAAGGACACTAGGGGCAACCCCTTATCTGGATAAATATTCCATTAAGTGAATGTTTGTTTACCTTAGGAAAGCCAGGTTACAGGATTATTCATTCATTCCTCAAGAATAAGTGCTGAAAATCTCCAGGGGTGGAGGGTGGGGTGGCGGGGTGATTACTACTTAGCAGAGTTATGGCTGTTATGCAGTCAGGATTCTCTCTCTGAAAAACAACAGTTAACACTGTGGTTGTATTTTTTTTCTGATGTATTGCTTGGAAACATTATCAGAAAAGCTTACACCATTTGTTAATTAAGCTTAAAACCTGATGTGTCATTCTATTGACTGTTATTATTGTTTCTTGAAACTTTGCTCTTGTTTATAGATATTTTTACTTGAGTTTAGAAATATTCCAAGTAGATCAGCCTCGCAAATTTAGACTTGTAAATTTAATCAGTAACTTCTAGGTATATGCAGGAACATATTGCATGAGACAATAATGTAATGTGTGAGAAATGTCTACACACAAGCTTTCATATACCTTTATTCTGTCTTTAGAATTTGGAATGATGGGAGATCATACAATTAAAAGTCAGCGACCTCGATCTGTTCATGAAAAAAGGGTCCCTCAGGAACAAGCTGATGCTGCTAAATTTATGGCACAAACTGGTAATACGTTAGTTACATTTTTCTATTTATTGTTGTTAATTTAATGAAACCACTGCATGTTTTCATAATCTTTTGCTGCACATTTGTCAGTTTTTGGAGCTGATATTTTTTTGAGCCATTTTTTTTTCCATCACCAGTTAAAGTCCATAAATGAAGTAGCTTTGAATTGAAAAGTGCACCAAAAAAATGTGTAAGATTTATTTTGCTTTCAGTATGGGACATTTAGGATTTACATATTATTATTTACTCGTGTCAATTAACTTCTTAAAATGTATCCTTAAACTTTTAAAGAAAGTCAACAGTTATTTTGTCAATAATTGATTATTATAGGATTTTTTCAGAACTAGAATTTTAAATAGGACTTTGATGAAATTTGACTTAGCAATAAGATGTCAAGTATTTTTTTCAAATGTCACACATCATAGAAATATTAAGTGTTAAAATGTATGGAAATTAGAAACTTTTTCAGAATTTGTTTTATTTGAAAGAGAGTTTTGCTATATAAGCTAAATAATAAAAAAAATGATAGTCTTTATTAGTAAGCTATAATACATCCAAACAATTAAATATCAACAAAAATCACTTTCTGGTTCATAAAATTTTTAATCCTAAACTAATTATATTACTTTCAAATACCTCCCTCAGGGGGGAGAAAAATATATACATATATATATGTATATATATATATATATACATATATATATAAAACACAATTAAATGCATTCATATGTTGGTTCATCATAATAAATGGCTATAATTCCATCTGTTTTTATATTGCATGTAGTACATTCTTAGATGAAAATGTATTTAAACTGTGTTATGAACATTTTCAGCTATCACTTATTTCAGGAAATTGCAAACTAACGGTTTTATCTATGTCTTTATAAAGTTTTATACATTCCAATCTGGATGATCTGTTTTACCATTAATACTGAAGTTTCAAGTACTTGATCAGCTTGTTGACATGACATTGACTGATTTTGATGAAATTCTCTTGAAGAATGAATGTTTCCTTTAGTTTATATTTTCTTAGGATATTTATTCTGAACATTAAATTTGGATCTACAACTTAAAAATGCAAATATTCTTAATGGATTGTGCCTTGGTAATAGGTGAGTAGTAGAATTTAACACATTAGTTTTAAGTAGGTCAAAGAATTCTTCAGAACAGGAAGAATGTTTACAATGAATTCTACGTAAAGGACATATTTTTAGCTTTTTTAAATATATATGTTGCAGCCAGACCCAGAAATGAAGAAAACTTGCTTATCTGGATTGCTTTTGGTGCAGCTTCTCATTTAACAAAAGGTGACATATTTTTACTATTTGCTCGAACGGGTCCAAAAGTGCATTGCCAAGGTCAGGTAAATTTTCAAATTATTAAATGTATGTTTCTCCTTTACACGGAGCAAAAAGTCTCAAGCACTGACCAGAGATTGGGGAATATTTGACTCTAACTAGAGGCACAGGGCATGGGCTGATAACTCAGCCTCCTTCCAGTGCCATCTGACAGGGGCACTTCTGCGAGATCAGAAATGTTCTTCCTTTTTGCACAAGAGGTGGCAGTCATTGGCTTGCTGAAATTTCTTAAAAGTGGGGTCACTTGGGAGTGAAATGGTGAGCCATAGTTTTAAATTCCCAATTATGTGGTAAAATTAGTTGATGCATAAATATTATGCAATTTGGCCAGGAGATTTTATATAAATTCGGTTTTTGTATTTGCCTGTGACATAATCCAAGAGAATTCAGTTCTCAGCCAAAACCTTTTTTGCAAATTCAAATCACAAGGAACATGTTTTCTTAGTAATAAGTTACTAATTTCTGTTTTCATTTACTGGTTCTTTTTCAAGCATTGTTTTGTACCTAAAATATAATAACACATGATTTGGTAAAGTAGATGAAACAGTTATGAAATAGATCCATGAGGAGCATTAAAACCATTTCTTTATATTGTTAATAATTCAGAAAAGGCAATGAAAAATTAAAGTTCAGAAAATATCAGTTGGATGCTTGAATTGATGCAAATAAATATTTATTATTTTATTTTAAAGCAAAAATAGTTTAGGTAAATATAAAAACATATAATACTTATTTTAAATTTAAATTGCTACAATACTGATAAAAGACTGGGAAACTGCATTATTTTAAGTAGTTTTTAAAATATGTAATTTGGCACCAGGCAGTTATAAAGTTAAAAAGAGAGGCTGTTTTTTTTCCCTTCAGTATTTTCTGAGATATACTTTCTTTAGGTGTTAAGGTAGTTAGTCTCAATAAGTGCAACTAAGTAACAAAACCTAGAAAAGCTAAGGTTTACTTATTAAACTTTTCTATTGGTCTTTCAAATCAGGAAATTGGTGTTACATATAAACAATGATAAACATTTGCTAACATTAATTTGAGAATGAAGAAAAACGCAATGGAGGTAAAATTGAATGATGGAAGACATTATAATATGTGTTTTATATTAGTCATGAGGGAAAACAAAGCAAAACCTATAAGCCTGTATAATTAAGAATTACTTCTCAAAATAAATAAGCTGGCCTCTTCAACCAATATGATCAGTAAACCCTCTCTCTGAAAAGCAAGCTTTCTATAAAGTAATAACATGAGTGGAAATTGTTTTTAAAAGAGTAACGTTTGGTAAAATAATGTTACTTTATCAAAATAACTTAATCATTTTGGTCAGTCCAATAATTGAGATAAGCTAGTTTAAGTATAAATAGTGTTCCAATAGCCTAGGACACAATTTATATTTATGGTAAAGAGAAATGAAATGAAGTGGTAAGATACAGATAGTTAATATAGACATCCAAAGTAAATGCCAAAAAATGGCTTAAGACAATTTAATTGCACTTACTGGTGCTTTTTAACATCATAGTCATCAAATGGTCTTATAAACATGTTTAGAAAAGTGGTCCTGTATTCCAGTGGGGAAAATAGCCTATATTAATAAAGGATAGCATGTTATCCTATCTAAAACAGAAATATAAAAGTATGTTTCTAATTTAATGATTTTAACATGTTAGCAAAAATTTATATTAATAATTTTTACAATTTAAAATGCACTCTTATACATTATCTCATTTAATCCTCACACGTGCATTTTGAGGTAGATGTATTACCCATTTTATTGAGAGGTTCCGAGAAATAAAGTGACTTTCTCAAGGTCACAGAACTAATATTCGGTAGCTTCACATCAAACACAGGTCCTCTGACTTTAATTACAGTGCTTTTCCAATCCCCTTTCATGTTTCGTGTCAGGATAAATAGTCTTAAAAGTGCCTCAGATACTGAAGTGTTCTATGCCGTGTTTCATGTGCCTTCTCTGTTACAAGTTAAGGAACCAGAGTAGTTTGTGCTATTTCCAAAGACACACATATTAAAAATAGTATACTTTGTATTGTACTTAACTATTCTAATGTCAGTGAGTTTTTAAAAATATACATCTCTTTCTTATAAAGTATATGAGCTATTTCTCACAGTCACCCAAAGTGCTGGACCAGAATAGTCTTCACACTTTTCAGAATGAAGTGGCAGCATGGAAATCATTATTAGTGCAAATGTTACCTGAAACTATACCATTTGAGGTATAATAAGGTCTTTTTGGTACGTAGGCTGGTATTTGAGTGGCAAAATTTGATTCATAATGTGAAAGCCAATATGTATTTTACTCATTTATTTATTTTGTTTTTGATCAACAAAATGAACCATAAATTTGAGCCAGTGAAGAAGGCCAATTCTGAGCACTAATTACCAATCTCTTAGGATCTACACATCACTGCTTAGCCTGTTGAACATCATTACAGTATACATTCAGAATTAACCCAGATTTTTAAATATTTGTGCAGAAATACATTTAAAAATAGATCTTGATCCTGATTCATTGCTCAATTTAATAAAAGCATTTTTAATGCCATCATAACAATGCAAAGGTAAGAGAAGGACTGCTTTTGTGGAAAAATAGAACACTTTTATGCATAACCTTTGTCATTTTTATAGAATTTACATTATTCAAGATTTTCCAGCTCTTAATTAATAACATACAACCATAATATTTCTACTTCACTTACTCTCATCACAAGGGTTGAAATATCACAAGAAAAAGCTTTGCATTATATTTTTCCTAACTTTACGCTTAAATTCTTCATCCCTAAATGTATATGTTCATATATACATACATGTGTGGATATTTTTTTGACCATTGCCATATTATTGGGTTCTAGAATAATGATTTTTAATTTTTAGAGTATTCTTTCATATAAAAGAACAAAATATGCGGCCTGCCTTTAAATGTTATTCAAACGGCCATCCAATAACATTTTTATGAAGTACTTAAATATAAATTGGTGAAGGCAAAAAAGACTAAAATAATCAAGGGAAATCTATAGAGGACTTCCAGGACAAACACTGATCCAACACTGAACAAAAGTCCTATTTAATGTAATACATCATCCCAATAACTACTGTCTGTGCCTTTATGATATATATCTAGTCATAAATGCCTTATAATCTATGCCTCTGGGTGCATAATGCAGCCTAATATAAGAGCAGATCCTTATAATGGTGCAACCCAAATTGTGGTTGGCGGACCTATGCTTATCTGTGAACTAGTTTTTATGGGCCCCTGAGGAGATAAGAAGCTTATACCAGAATGTAAATTCAACTACTTTATCAAGCACATGTTTTATTTCAGCTAACTTTTTTGTTTGTTTGTTTGGAAAAAAATTCTCAGTGAAGAAATCAGCAAGTTGAGTTACATTCTGGTTCAACCTCCTTCTGTCCTGGAGTACCAGCCTATGGACCAGCTGTCTTGAGTAACCCTGCAAGTAATGTCTAAGTCATTTACTAACCTTTCAAAAGAAAAAAAAAAAAATGGGCAAATAGATCATCATATTCTTTTTTTTTTTTGAATTCTGTTTCAAAGGCAAATTCTAAACAGAACTTATATAATATAAATTGTTCCTTGGTTTATATAATCAGTGATGCAAAGTATTCAGAAACACTTCACCTGCAAACCTTTCCCACAACCAAATAACTAACTTAAGTTCTTCCTGCCAGCAGGTAAATGCCCCAATTTTGTATTTAGGGAAAAGCAACTGCAAGTTTTCAAATCAGTGTTAAGAATCCATCCTGAACACGATGTCAGAATAGGATCAGAAGTCCATTGTGATGGTCTTAGAAATTCTTGACTTTAAGTCTTTTTGGGACATGATCTAGATAATAATAGAAACCAGATGTAATTTCAGTGTGATGCTTATTCTGAGACAATTAATGGAATTCAGATATTCCTTGGCTTTTTAGGGCCTTATTTTGAATAAATTAATAGAAATCATAGAGAAATTTTCCTTCATTTTGAGTAAAACTCACTCTTCTAGATCATGAAGAAGATTCTGAACGGGTTTTTAAACAAATTATCACAAAATAAATAGCTGTCATAGGATGACAAAGTAAGAACTGTACTGGGAGTAAATTATAAATAAGTGACAGTGTTTAACTCTATAAAAATTAGATACGCCCAAACTCCCAGGGCTCCACCTCATCCAGCATGAGAAAGGAGGCTACACAATAAAGGATTAGGGAAGAATCCATCAATATATTCCTGCTCACCAAGGCCAGAGTAAGTTTAGCAATACATTTTGCTTCCTCTCCCATCCAAAGGACAAAGCCTTAGATTGGCTTGAGGAGAATCCCTTCAGCAATCATTGTTGTCAATAAATGCTGACTGGTCCATTCATAGTGTCTACAGTAGTGTCTTTGTGAAGAGTAGTTTTGCTAACAAGGTTATAACCAACTTGGACCTCGCACCAGTGTCATATGTATCTCCCTTTAAATGTATTTTTCTCTGAAATGTTTTCTTGTGCCTTTTGATGTAATGTCATATTTTTACATTTATAAATTATTCTTGCATGTCATAATGTCAGTTTGGTATGATGCTGAGTAGATGAATATTCAAAGCAGTATTTCATGTTTATTTGTTGTCTTGCACACAGGTGAATCTGGTGTGGAAGAGTGGTCCCAGTGGAGCACGTGCTCAGTTACTTGTGGTCAAGGGTCGCAGGTGCGAACCAGAACTTGTGTATCACCTTACGGGACACACTGCAGCGGCCCATTAAGAGAATCAAGGGTTTGCAATAACACTGCCCTCTGTCCAGGTAGTGTTAGCAGCAACTACAACTGTGGATGTTATTGAATTGTGTCATGCTACGCATTTGGAAAGATTTGTTATTTTCATATGAAATGGGTATAGACATTTTAATTAAAGTGGATAAGTTTAACTTGTTTTCAACGGTGAAATTTTGCCATATATGTGATGATTTCTGCTCTCAGAGCAGTCAGGAAATTACATAAGTGACTCCCCTAATGAATTTTCTTGAGAAATTTCTGTATCTGCTTCTAATAATATTTATGATTATAATAGCTTTCCTTATTTCAGGTGGCAAAAATGTCCAGCTGAGTGTTTGAGGAAACGTAAACTTGCAGGCATACTGGAAATGTGATCCGTACCCATTGTTTAAGGCAGCGGTTGATGCAGTCTTTAAAGCAGTCAGTTGTTTTACTTACTTGGCTCTATCAAAGAGAATAGTTCCCCTGACCAAAGGACATTCTGTTAATTTATTTCATTCAAGTGACTCTCCTCATCCGAGCCACCCAGTGCATTGTAAAGTCATTTAAAGTCATTAATGGGGAAAAAATCTTCAATGTTAAATGGAGCACAGCACAGTGTCTTGCCTGGGTAGGGTGAGATTTTCCGGCTGTCATCAACATTTTGTTCTCATTGGAGGCCTGCATGCATATTACAGGCATTTCTCCTTAAATTACTGATTTTTATGTAAAAATGAATACTAAAAGGAATTTGGGTTTTCTTTCAAGAAGTCCAAAGCATATGATATTGTGTATCTCCAGGTTTATATTTTTGTTCAACTATTTGGTGGATGGGTGATACAAACTTAGTGGCCATTGCCGTTGACACTGGACTTGCATCCACCAGGGGCCTCCAGAAGGGGGCAGGCATAAGGAGAGGGATTGGCACTGCAGCAGCTTTTCATCTGCTAAATTGTGCGTAAAAGTTTTCTGATGACTTCCATTTCCAGAGATGGCTGATTTTGCAATTGCTAAAAGTAAGAGTAGAGAGTGGGTGGCATGGGGGAAGGGCAGGGATAATCCCAATTTCCCAGCAGAATGAGCAAGGGCAACCCATTAAAAGACAGTGTGGAGGAGTTGTTGTTTAATGGGTACAGGGTTTTGATTTGCAAAATGAATAAACTCTGGAGACCTGTTTTACAACAATGGGAATATATTTAACACTACTGAGTTGTACACTTAAAGTAGTCTAGATGATAAGTTTTCTGTTATATATTTTTTATCACAATAAAAGAAAAGACAATCTGGAAGTAACAAAAGGGAAAGGAAGTGGTGGGCAGAATGTGGCGGAGAGCTGATGCGTGAGATGGGAAATCCCTTTATAATGGAATTGGGAGATGCAGAGCAGCAGATTAAGGTAGAAGTAAAAGCTAAACAGGACAGAAAAGTATGAGGAAGGGAAGATGGAATTAGCAGGAAGCAGCAATAATTTCCACTGAAAGCAAGAAAAATCAAGTCAGTGTGAGTCAGTGAGAATTAAACTAGATGAGAAGGAACATGAAGTGAAAAAAAAAATCAGAGGGAAAGAGTGCTTACAGAGGTCTTGGAAGGGGAGGACAATGGAAAAAGATGACAAAACCAGCAGTTAGAGAGCAAGCAGACTCTAGGTCTGTTAGGCAAGAGAAAATGAGCTGAAAGTTTTCTGAATTACCAAATTTCTAAATTTTGTAGCTAAAATTACCTCATGAGTAAATGGTTGTGGATTTCCAGCTGGGTGTGAGGGGAGTACATTGTCTCATATTTAAAGCTGGCCCTTGGTTACAATATCAAGCTTCCTATCCCGGGCAATGAGAAAAGTGTCAATAGAGAAGTAAGCTGTGCTTGAAATATTTATCTTGTCAGCATCCTTCTGAAAAATCAAGTTCCCTTCAACATACATGGGTAGAATCTAATGGCAAATGGATCCTCAAGTGGAAGTCTGAGAGGGTGCGGAAGTGTTCTCTGCAATCCTCTGTTCAGTCCTTACATTCCGGCCACTCGTTACGCACATTCGTATGGTTGACATATGGAAACCTCCATCTTTCTGCCAGAGACTGCTGAGTAATCCCTTCACTGGGCAAGGAGAGCATCTGTAATGGGACCAGAGTGCTCTCCCTTTCACTCTGTGTCTGACGTTTAGAAAACTGAATAATATTCTGATTGTAAAGTTTTTCTTAAATTTCTTAAACCTCCTACCATTATACCTACTGAAGAAATTCACACTAATCATGAGTTCCTCTTGACCTTCGTATACTATAGGTTTGTCTTTCTAAATCTGGTTAAATAGTACTGACGATAAGAAAAATGTGTCTTTTAATCATTGTTATAGTTCAGATGTTGAATTCAAGAGAATGGAAGATTTTGTTGATTTCTTTTTAATTTTCTAAAACCGAACACTAATTTAGCAACTTTGTTATTTTAGAAATATAGAATAAGTATTTCACTATAGGAAGTTGGGATACCTTTTAGATGGTTATTGTATTCGTCATGAAATATTTTGTGTTCAATATTTTGTTTGGTTACTTGCCATGCTGATAAATATGTACTTTTTGTGATATAATATATCATGAAAACAGTAACCAAAAGTTAATTAAAAAACTTAAACAGTACCTAAACAGTGTAAATACCTGTCTAAAATAATACTTTAAATTCCCAAGAAGAAAATTAGCTCAGAAATCAATAATCTAGTTGTCACACTGTGGATATTCAAGTGTGTTTGGCATTTAATTAATAAAAATGACACAAGGACAAAATGAATGTCAAAGCCACTTTCCATAAAATATATGGAATGATAGAATTTGAGCTTATATTTATTTGCCCTAGTAAAGCTAGTCAGTATTATTATAAATTAGTTGCCTTTCACCCATATTATTCTAATTTCAAAAGAAGGGTTTTCTTAATTAAATTGCATAATAATGTGTTACTTCTAATATGGATCCTAAGACATCCAGCCTTTTGCAAATTGTTGCTTTAATATTATAGTCTCTTCAAAAATTCTTATTACTCAGAGCAGAAAATGATAGGGTTAAATAGCAAGTAAACTGAGAAAGTAGAGAGCTACATTAAATTGTGTATTTGCTGTCCTGGTTTCTGACTTACAGTTTTATGATCTCTTCCAGGGTTTCTCAACCTCAGTACTATTGACATTTTGACATGGATAAGTCTTTGTTGTGGGAGGCTGGCCTGAGCATTCTTGGATGCCAGTACCATCCCTCCTTCCCCTGAGCTGTGAAAATCAAAAATTTCTCTGGACATTGCCAAATGTCCTCTGGGGGGCAAAATTGCCCCTGGTTGAGAACCACTGGTCTACTCTATATGTCTTCTTCTTTTTTTTTTTTAAAGATTTTACCTATTTATTTGACAGAGAGAGACAAAGCGAGAGAAGGAACACAAGCAGGGGAAGGGGGAGAGGGAGAAGCAGGCTTCCCGCAGAGCAGGGAGCCCAATGCGGGGCTCGATCCCAGGACCCTGGCAGACGCTTAACGACTGAGTCACCCAGGCGCCCCTACTCTATATGTCTTTTAATCCTTTAGAAGTTGACGTGGGCTAAGGAATGGTTTCAATTTTTTTTTTTATAAATGTCACAGTATCCACATTTATACATTTCTTAAGAAAAAAACCTTTCACTTAAAGGAGTTATTTTATACATCCCAATGTAAATTATAAGGTAATTTGTATGCTTATTTCAAAATCTGGTAGTAACATAATTTTTATATTGTGTATTCCTCATTTCATCTTTAGATAGCACAGAGTAGGGATGTGACACTATAGCTAGTGTCTAAGTAAAGAAGAAAACTGTAAAAATGGATTAATTTTATCTGTTTTTTTTGGTTTTATTAGGCACATTTTCCAAATGAACTAGATTATTTACAGATTTTCATACTTTACTGAAAGGTAAAAGAATTTATATAACAATTTGCCGCTAAAGTAAAAATATCTTTATTCTTTAACATAAATCTTATGAATACATCTATAAAATTATAAGATATGTGTTATAGTTTCCAACTAATTCAATAATATCTAAAATAAAATATAATTAATAATTTAGTTTCTTTTTCAAAAAAAGTTGTTTTTTTTTTAAATGATGTGGAGGAGGCATGAAATTTCATCATGGAACAATAGTGTTAAAAAGTAGGGAGTAACATACTTTTCAGAGGACTCCAGCTTCATGATTTAACCAAACTGTCAAGATTAATCAACACTTCTTTGAGATTAATAGAGAAAAATATGCCAATTTAGCAGCCTTTTCTCAGGCTTTGTTCAAAGAATACAGAGCAGCATGATTTGATTGAGGAGAAAATTAACAGAACCAGCCATATGAATGCAATATGGTCTTTTAACAATTTCTATAGACAACAGGGGAAGAAAAGTTTGTTTTTAAATGGAGAAATCTTGGTAATTAAAATTAAATGCAAAAACTAATTAAAGATACGTGTTTTATATGACAAAATACATTCATATATAATATTTTAAAAATATTTTGCTATCATTGATCATATATACCTATATATAAATATAGGTATGTGTGTATTTTTTTTTCCTTAGAGTTAAATACAAACTCATTATTTAATCTGATGTCAATAGATACAAAGTGACTTTGGTTTTCCAAACTTAAATGAGAAAAATATAAACATATTAATTTCTTTCACTGTCTTACTTTTTTTCTATGTAATATTTTAAAAATATATTTTCCAGCAACTTTCTCAGAAACTTGAAGATTTTTTCACTGAGTATTACACAAATTTGGCTAACTTTTTCAGTATTTCAATAAATTTTCACAACCAGTTGGGGCAACTCAATAGCGTAAATAGAAGAAAATGGGGTGTCTCATAATTAAGGTATCATATACGTGTTTTTAAAGAAACAACTTGGTTTGCATATACATGCAAAACATTCTAGATATGCTGTATTTACTCGCATAACTCCTCTGACACTTAATATGGATTCTGCTTACCCCTACCAATGTTGAGGAGAAAGTGAAATCTTTTTCATCATCCATTCTAAATTTCTACTCCCCCCTCCTCATTCTAGTGGGTGTCCCATCAGACTTCTGCTCATGAACCTCTAAGAGCATACTAAGACCAGAGGTTCAACATCAAAACGGGAGCTTTTGAGCTGAAGAGCACATTTTGCCCAGCTTCTTTTTATTTGTATTATCCACGAAGTGCTATTCCGTACTCTCCCAAATATTAAAAATTGGGATGAGATTGGTGATTGATTGTGGCAAAGAAGGGATCTAAACCCTGGGCTTTATGCAAAAGATGTCAATATGTATTCCCAGTGGCTTTTATGGAGCAACACAAATTATGTTAATACTTCTGATTAGTTTGAATCCATCGTAATGGCATAATTGAAGTATTGGCATATATCTACTTATGTTAGGAGTAATCCTAATTAGATCATTTGCTTTCTCTAGAAACGTTTATTTATTAGGAGGATTTCCAGTGCATCAAGTTATTGCAAGAAGAAAGAAATCTTCATATTTGCCACTCATTTTAAAAGAGGGCAAAGAAGAGAATTTTATGCGAGTAGATAGAGTTTTTGAAATTTCCATCTTATTCAAAGACAGTGACTTTGAACACCCATATTTTTTAAATGGCAAAAATATATTTATTTTCTAAAATGTGAAGTTAATAAGCTATTTAAAATATGGACCATTAACTTTCAGATTTTTTTTTATTTTTTGATATCAAAGTCATTAGTCCCGAAATTTTAAGAATTATGTTGGCCCTTATATATTTAAATGCAGATTTCACTCGAGAAGATCAAATCTGTTATAAGAAATTTAGTTTTCTATACTACCTTTTAAGTTTATATTATTTTTATTTAAAAATAAATCATGACTATTTTACTGTGAGCAAGAGAGGTGCATTTCCATTAAAAAAGAAAACATTTAAAGTTTATGACAAATAACTGTTCGAATATAGAAAAAAAGTACATGTCATTTTGTGTCATTTTAATAAATTTTCAAATTAACCTTTAAAATTTTTTGGCAAATAAGAATGTTAACTGAGCTTTTAAAATATCTTCATACTGTCTATTTGATGATTTTTTTTTCTTTATAATTAAGAAAAAAAATCTTTGACTTTACCTCTCTGCTTTTGTTGTTGAAGCTTCTTTGCTTTATTACAGTACATGGAGTTTGGGAGGAGTGGTCACCATGGAGTTTATGTTCATTTACATGTGGTCGAGGCCAAAGAACAAGAACAAGGTCATGCACACCTCCTCAGTATGGAGGAAGGCCATGTGAAGGACCTGAAACACATCATAAGCCTTGTAATATTGCTCTGTGCCCAGGTGAGCATATTCTGCATTTGGTGAACTTTGTATTTGTGTCCTTAATATGTGGTCCCTGGTATACGTAGGAAATATTACGAGTACAACCTTTATTCAGTCACACTGGAAAATGTGTCCTTTGGTTACTATTTCTTGCTTAAAACTGGGTACTTTCCTTGACTCTATCATATGCAATGGTTTGTGATATTTCCTTGAGTGAGTACCAAAGCTCACCTTTCTTTGGTTTCTATAAATATGTCTATTAATTCTTTGCACTAAGATTTTATCCATACTCAGTTTTCCCTCCTGGGAGAATTATAAGGAGCCCTGAAGATTTAAGATTGACTATTGCCTTGATACTCTAACTAGAGAAACTGTTTCAGAGTCAGTCCTTCTGATGTCATTGTCTCACACTCATTCAGTTAAGGAGTAGGGATTCACCACTGATCATGTATGGAAATGATAGATATTTGTAAGGAATACAGACTTTATAGATTCACTCTTAGATGCGTAAGATGGTTAGCTCATAAATGATATATAACTTCACGTGATTATGAAGAATATATAGTCTGTTCGTAGAGTATCTTTGTAATCCTAAATTTTAGTTTCCTTTAAAATGTTTCAATGCTATTTTACCTGAACTTGATAACTTCGCACATTATTACAGAGAGAAGTCTTTATAATGCTGTTATTTAGGTTGTTAAAACATTCAAACATAAAACAAATACCTAAGAAATGAAAAAGACTGATCTTATTCAAGGGGCTTGCAACTTATGAGAAGAAAATACACACATGGAAATGATAGAATCTCCCAGGAACTAGCCAAGGCACATTCTAGAGGTAGGGATAGACATGAGTGGGAAATGGCAAAGGCTAGAATGGCAAAGACCAATATAAATAACCATTGATCTACTCCTTGGGAGACGTTTTCACTGGCCCATTCTGCATGCAAGCAACATAGCTGAGATCCTGGCAATGTGCTCCAAACATGTTATCCAGCTCACATTCAGTCCCATTTGTACTCTCAATTCCCCAAGGTAATATCTTATGTCATGAAGCAATGATTCAGTTTCTCTGGAAATTTTAAGTATCTAAAACATCTTGAGACTGTGAAAATCCCCCAAAATGTAGATAAGCAAAGTCATCTCACGAGCTTGTTTCCTTTTTTTTTTTTAAGATTTTATTTATCTATTTGAGAGAGAGAGAATGAGAGATAGAGAGCACGAGAGAGAAGAGGGTCAGAGGGAGAAGCAGACTCCCTGCTGAGCAGGGAGACCGATGTGGGACTCGATCCCGGGACTCGATCCCGGGACTCCAGGATCATGACCTGAGCCGAAGGCAGTCGCTTAACCAACTGAGCCACCCAGGCGCCCGAGCTTGTTTCCTTTTACTTTGGAGAAAGACTACTAGGTTCCTATATCAGGAATATACTTTTAAAGATGTAGTAGTTATATTTACTCCTAGAATTTTATAAATTCTATGAATTATGAATAACTTGTATAATTCAATATTCATGTAATTTGAATATTAGGGAGGCAAAATTATGATTCCTTATTTGCAAATCACTCCCAGAAAATCTATTTATGAAGTCAATTATGTCCTGTTATTTCTATCTCTCTATAAACATACAGACAAGCACCTAGACACACACACATAAATATATTAATGTCCTGTCTTTTTTACAAAGATTTGGGCAAGCTTATACAAATTTTCGAGTTTTTTTAACTGCTGAGCTGTGACATTTACAGAGAGTCAAATATAGTTCATTCTTATTTGTCTGTGGAATGTGAAAAAATAGATAATGTGGGGAAAGGAAAAAAATAATAGCTAACTATAGAATCTCTTTTAATATGTTAGTTTTTATTACTTGTTTTACCTCGGTTAATCCCCATTGGTGTAAAGATGAGAATGGCACTGATCAGTTAAAATGTTATCAACCATGTTTCTCGTAGTCTACTTTCCATGAACTTTCTAGGAGTAAAATGCTTGGGAATCAAGAGATAGGGATGCGAAGTTGTTAGAATTCAGATAAGAAAACTCATTTTTCTAAGTTGATATAATTGTTGTTTTGTCACTGAAGTAGTAACCACATGTGTTTTCAAGCTAGTTGTGTTTTACAGTATTACGCTGTCATTGGAATCACTCTAAGACCGTTAAACTTAGGTCTTTCTTTTGTGTAGGTCTTTCTTTAATTTTGGAAATTTATGCTTATATTATTTGTAAAACTGGCCTAGCTCATATTCTGTCTTGGGTGAGCATTATGGATATATATTGGGTACTTAATTATATGTTGCTTCTGACTATTATTTCCATTCTTGAATTTAGTTGTATCACAAAAGATATAAAACTCTTACCATGTTGTATCCCAATTTCCTTACGATTTCAAAGGGAATTCTAATGGCTACGATTTAAAAAAATAAAGAAAGATTTTATACTTTACCAAACATTTTGACATTATGCTTTTGAAATATGTAAGATTTTTATTCGGTGCAAACATTTTGAATTCTCCTTAAAACTAACCATCTTACAGCTAAACTCAGGTGCCTTCACTATATATAAAAGCATCATCATGTGTCGACAAGATGTAAGATACTACTGAGAAGAATATATAGTCCCTGATCTCAAGAAATTTGTAATCTCTTCAGAGGATTTAGACATAAGCATGTAAAAAGTTGAATGAAGTTCTGATAAACACATATAGACACTCCATTTCAGTGAGTGGGGATAATTTGAGAACTCAGTGATTTCAGCCTACATTTCTTGTAGCCATCCAACCTGCGATCTCGGCGACATCATCTTAAGGTATAAAAATGTGATAGGCAGTCTATCAGTAATGAAAAAAAACGGGCCAAGACCTATACACTTGGTTCCCCTTGGCTAGGCTGATTGTCAAGTGGAGACCAAAGGAGAACAGAAGAAACAATTGACAACGAACTTGGTCTCAACTCACCAACTTTGCAAGCTCTGACCATGAGCCTTGTGGTAATGGGTGGTGATATTTTAGTGTGGGATCACATTGGAACAGCAGAACGGCATCCAGCATCGTACTTTTAAGAAATACATATAACCACCGTAATGAAGTGGATGCTACCTAGGACTGATATGTATTGTTCACATCAAATAATGAAATGTTTTATTTATGCAAATTTTGACATCAACTTAAGAGTAGATGACATCCTACTTTCATAATGTACTTTCCTTAGTCATGTCCAACTTTTTCCCACTTCTTTTGAGGTGAGGGAAAGCTATCTGCCTGGGATCCATATAAGGAGAGAGGAAAGAAAGGAAAGGGTAGATAAGGTATTTCCTAGTATGAGTTACAAGTTCCTAATGTGTATCATGTCTAAGAACCGATACCAGTGTTGATGGAGGGAGGTGGGCGAGAGATATAGAGCAATACGAGGGATCCACTATGACTCATTCACTAATTATAAACATAATGTTACCCCATCTTCCTCCCTTTCTCATCTATACCAATAATTAAATGTGATATTACGGAAGGGTGTGTGTAGGTATGTGTATGTCCAATGGTCCTTGTGGTCTGTTTTTCTTATCTCACAAAACTTAGAATTTCTGGCAGTCCATGTTTTCTCTTTTCTCTGAATTTTCACTGCAATCCCTAATCAAACATCAAATTCACATAGTATTAATTAGTATATATGAGGAAATTCTCTTTCATTGCTTGTTTATCTCTCTGTGCAACTTTGTATTAACAGTATCCAATACATTACTATTGAATGGATTTTCCTAATGGACATATCCAAATTTTTAGTTCTCATCTCCCCAAAAAATTACAGGACATTTTCTGGGTATATTTAATGATGCATTTATGTGGTGTAGTGAAACTTGGACTTCCACAAGAGAACACTTATTTAAATTTAGGTATCACTTTTTAATATGTGTGTTCCTCCTCTGAGTCTTAATCTCTTCATCTGTAAAATGGGGACAATAGCATACCCACTTCACAGGACTGTGAGAGGACCTTGTGAGATGCTGTAAGGGAGATAACTTGATAAACAGCAAATGGTGTATAAGTATCAGTATTATAATTATGTCAGCACCCTATAGCCAAAGTCCATCAAGATGACACTTGTCCTTGAGCAAGTTGGATTCATTACTCTTGGCATTGAGGGAAAATTAACATAGGAAACTGTGGGGCATCTCGGTTAGAGGGTGTTAGAAAGACTTATTAAGGGTTTGGACTTGTTTTGGGTGATTTCAAGGAGGGTTTTAGGAAGTGGAGCTTTGCTCTGGATTTAAGAATGTCTAGATGGGGGAAGAAAATCTATGATTGGGTATTTTAATGAATTATCCAGGAGGAGGGAAAACTTGCTATAATTGGTAAACAAGTGTCAGTCACTCATATTAGCTGACAGAAGAGAAAGTTTGGAACTTTGTGGGTTGTGCTGTGACCGTTTTTCACTTTATCTCACTTTATCACAGTCTCAGAGTGACCTTGTCTGTTGTTAATGTTCTCTGTGATGGTCTTAGATCCAACAGGAGATGGCATAGCCTCGCTGTGAGCACCAAGCAAGCAGCTAATGGCACCGAGTCTAGCTATATCAGACCAGTTCCTGGATGTCACTTTGATGGTGACTCCTCATCTAGGGTGATTTAATCACTTTACCTATTTTTGTTTTCAATTTTTATTAATATTCAAATGGAGAAAGAAAAGTGTTAGA